GAGAGGGTACTTCCATCGATAGGATGAGCAAAGTGGAATGAATCTACCGCTAGAACATCGAAATATACACTGCCACACCTTTTTTTTTTTGTGTGTGTGTGTGTGAGACACACTGAGAGAGAGAGAGAGAGAGAGAGAGAGAGAGAGAGAGAGAGAGAAAGATTTTCATCGATAGGATGAGCAACACACCCGCCAACAGATAAGATGCTACTACTTCCATTGATAGGATGAGCAAAATCAAATGAATCTTCGGCTAGAACATTGAAATATACACTACTGCACGCGCGCGCGTGTGTGTATGTGTGTTGAAATAAACAGAGCCCCGCGAACGCGGCAAGCAGTGTAACAGGGCATGCATACACGATTGCCTAAGATTCTGAGAAGAAAGACCTCTATACTTTTGCACAGAACAATCCATACAACAGGAGAAATCAAAGCACCCATAATTGGGGTGAAACCACGCACAGAACAATCCATACAACAGGAGAAATCAAAGCACCCATAATTGGGGTGAAACCACGGACAGGAAGTCAAGAAGCAATAAGGCAACAAGACAACAAAGTAGACAACAAAACACGTAACAGAAAAACACAAAGCGAAAAAAATAAAATAAAATAAAATAAAAACTGATGATAGATTGTTTCGTCGGAGTTGCACGGACTCATCAGGAGGCTGAACCCTCGACAATCTGCAGAATCTCCGTATTTGATGGTTTGGGTCATGAACACTTTGACCCTTGTTGAAGGCAGACTGTCCCCAAGTGGAACATAGCAGCAAGCAGCAACCCTGTGGAGCACCAGGCAACACAGTAGAGGCAACACGGCTGCACAACGCCAAAAACGACTGCAAGGAACGACATGGCACGCAGCGTGGCAACCGTGTAGTGAAGCACAAGACAACACAAACAAGGTAACAACACTGCAGGGGATGACAGGGCAAGTGGACCAGCAGGTCGGCAACCGTGGAGCAGAGCACAGGGCACCAGCAACAAGGCAACCAACCTACAGGGCACACAAGCAGCAAGCACGGAAGGCACGACCAGCGGACGAGCAGCCTGGCAGTGGAGCAGCGAAGCACAAGGCAACACCAACAACACGGCCACACCGCACAGTGAACACGTCAACCTGCAAAGAACCACATGCGAAGCAAGCGGGAAGGCAGCAGGGCAGCGGCGGAACGCAGACGAGGACGTCCACACATCCAACACGAAGCAAAGCAGCACATGACCTACTCACATCACGATTGAACCCTGCAGATTGTTGGTTCCCACCACCCACTGAGCCAGGGAGTCACTCCGACGAACATCCGTCATCACCGACAGGGAACACAGACATCCCGAACCGAGTAGCCCCCATAAGAGTGCAGTAGGCACTCCAAACGAGGATCCGCCGACTGTTTGGCACTGCTTAAGGGTGCTCTGTCGGGCACACAAAAAAACTTAGAAAAAATTAGGGGGAGTACAGACAACAGAAGAAAGACTGACAGACATAAAACTGATTGTGTGTGTGTGTGTGTGTGTGTGTGTGTGTGTGTGAGAGAGAGA